TAGGTTACATGTAATGTGAAAAAAGGAAGGTGAGGGTACAACAATTCTATCGCAAGAGTTGCTTCACATTGTCACTCGGAACAGAGTGTGTTGCCAACATTATCTCCTTTAGAGAGACTAACAAAATCTAGAAAATGATAAAAGTATAAATAGTGCGGCAAAGCTCCCGCTTTACAAAAATCCTTTCCACTAGAATTTATTTCTACATGTACTCTCTTTTGTTTCTGCCAAAGAAAATCTGAAAGCAGCTTTGTTTGTTTAGTTTCTAAGCAGAATTGCCCTATTAAAAATATCCATGTATTGTTTGGTTTTAAGCATCAGTGCGTGTTTTTTCATACCTGAAAATGTTTTGATAGAATATTTACGGACTTCTTTAAAGGTAATCTCACCCTTATTCCACATTTCATGGAATTGAGTTTTATTACATTTGGAGAACTGTATACTAGTTTTTGGAGTGTATTGATCAATGAGTCTACCTAAACCTTGATCAAAATATAGAATACTAAATTTCATCAAACATCATAGCTAAGCTTGATATGTCAGGGAATTACCACCGCTTGTTTGTAGAGTTTGGGACTTATATTGTCGCTTTCTTTTCCAATTCAATGACTATAAACCATACGTAGCTGAAATCATATATATGTATATATATACCATATAGGGGTATCGCCTTACCATTAAGATCCAATGTGACTATATCAATATAAGCTTTATCATAACCCACTCAAAGCTTAATACCTCACAACTCTATCATGATACCCCACCTAGTCATGATAACCAACCTTATCTTGTTCTGTAATACCCAGTCTTATGACTGAGACCAGTTTGGTGGAAGCATCAAAATTTATTTTGATGTTCACCTTTTATACATTGTTAAATATACAGTTAAATGATATTTTGTAAACTAATGTAGGTATTTAATATTCTCTAAGCACTGCACCCTCTCGTAGTATGCTATCAATAGTATTTACCACGCTATACTGAGTTCTGATATAAAAATATTACGAGGATATTCAAGGATTTCAACAATCTTTGTAATTTTAACTTTCTCTTGAACTCAATATAGCAGCGGTAAACTTGTGGAATTAAAACCTCTTCAATAATCCCATTTAGAAATACAATGTTTCATTAGTCCATATATACACCACCTTACTTGTGTCAAAGACTAACATAGCCTCTACTACGAAAGGAGGAATCTTAAACTCGACTTGTTAAACAAACTTGTTGCGCTACCGATTGCTTAGTAAATACATTGGCTTTGCTTTTCTTTTTTCCCTCTTTTTTTTTTGGCTTAGAGATGATGTTCAACAACGAAGGAAGCAGCAGCAGCATCCCTGTAATTATCTCATCTTGCGAATGGGATTATGCTACATAATAAGGATAAAGAACTGAATTGCAAGGGCCATTACAGAAAAATATCCTAGCGAAGATAACCAAAAAGTGAAATTAGATAGTAAGTTGTGTGTCCGGAGCTTAGTTGTTTCACAATGGAGTTAAGCAAATTTCAGCATTTGTTTGATCTTCCTTGATTTACAAACTTTCCATTTTTTAGTTCTTTTTTTCCTTTCTCTCTTTTTCAAAAAAGGGCTAGAATCTTGAAATGAAGTAGCATTTTAATATTATCTTCTTGTTGTTTCTACCCCCTGTCCCTTGCTTTCAGATACCCTAAATAATAATTGGCCAACCAAATAATGCTTGGCCAAATTTACGATTCACATACATACAATACATAGAGAGAGAGAAACGCCTTTTAAATGTACCAGTTCCAAACGCCTTTGTAGTTTTGCCCTTCTAACTTTTGTCTATTGTATTACTGTAAGTACTTTTGTCACCCTTTATACGTTTGGTGCGTACTATTTTTAAAATACACATGGTAGCACACAAAAATATTCTAGATTTCTGGGGTTCAACAACTTACATGTACACACAAAGAATTAACGATAGGCAGTACGATCAACTGGGGTGGACTATCAATAAATGATTTAACTATACATTCACTTGCAAGTAGAAATATTTTCAAAGCTTCTTGGTCTGTGTATGTGTTGTTGGGTGACTATTTTAACTATTTCATTGTGTTTTAGAGTGTATTGTCCTTTTCTCTCCTGTTTATTTAAATTTGATAATTTTTTTTTAACTTTCTTTTAGCTCTCGCCCTTCTAAACCAAGAACAACCAAGAACAACCAAGAACAACCCAAAACCACAACCAAAAGCAACAACCGAAAAAAAAAAAATAAAAAAAAAAAATTCCTTTTCAAAGTCAAAGGACTCTCTCTATAAGAATATAAAAGTTATTTTTATTATTATTACACATCATTTTTAACAGTGTAGGGGATTTTAAACTTTTATAAACCACATCACTCAAGGTAATATTCAATCAATACCTGTTCTAGCCTTTCATATCACTTATCAAATTTGAATGCTATTTAGTTACCTTTGATACTTTCTGTGAAGCTGCTAATCCCTAAACCCCACTTTTTGATTCCTTATTTTTTTTTTTTTTAAAATCACCACCACACAACACTTACACTTACACACACACACACCACACACGCCACACAACACAATGGATACGCAAGACGGTTTTGAACTTGACAAACGCACAAAAGTGTCCCGAGCTTGTGATTATTGCAAAAAGAGGAAATTCAAATGCAGTGGTAAAGCACCATGTGACTTGTGTTCGAAAAAGAATATTGATTGCACATTTAGTATTGTTGATCGAAGGACAATACGGAGAAAGAACAAAAAGAGAAAGGTTAAAACTGAAGAGGATCTTGAAGTGGATTCATCAGCACCAGTAATGACGAAATCGTTGTCATCGCACTCCAAAGAGTTTATCCATAAAGTTGTCAAGAATGATCAAGTCGATAAAAAGTCCCTCAGTATGTTGAAACAACGCTCCAAACTACCCATCCATTTCCAACCATTAACAATGTTCCCACTGGGTGGGAAGTCAGATGAGAGTGACGAGTCTCAAGAGTTGAGGAAACCGGAGATGGATGATGGGGAAGTAGAAGAGGAAGAAGAAGAAGAAGAAGAAGAAGAAGAAGAAGAGGAAGAAGAACAGGAGGAGATGGAGGAGCTAGCTGAAGACGAGTCAGGTCAAACTAGTATTGGTGAAGAAAATAAAGTTGATCATCCCACTGAAAGTAAGGAAACGAATGGAAATGGCCACAAAGAAAAGGCGTCACATAGCTCACCAACCTCACATTCAAAGTCCCTGAATACACATTCAAGGCCTAGCTGGGCAGAAGATGCTGAACTGCAACGTGTCCTCTTTGATGCAGAGGGAAATTTGAAATATGTGGGTGAGTCAGCCCCATTATCGTTTTTGTTTGAGTGCAGAAACATCTTTTCCAGGATTACAGGCAATTCAGAGTTTACCGAAGAGCGCCATTCTTTGGAGATTTTCGATGATGCCGAAGAAGTTCAAGATGTTGTACAAATGGCATTACCTAGTCGTGAGTGCTTGAGAAGGATTTTGAAATTGTTTTACGTCAACATCAATGAAGCATGCTACATCTTTGATATCAAACACTTTGAAAAAAATGTAATTGCTCCCATTTACAACAATTATGGCGAATGCTCAGTTGACCAAATTGCCTTGATTAATCTCATTATTGGAGTGGGGCTCTTGTACGCTGAAATTATTGGTGATCCAATCTGTCACGATATGGAGTCACCACAAATGAAGTCGTTAGCGTATTTTGAATTTGGAATCCATTTGGCGAAAAAGTATATGAATGTGGGCAAATTGTGGATTTCCGAGGCTATGGCTCTTGCGTTTTTTTACTACTCATCTACCCATCAACGTAGCACTGCTTGGTTGATACTAGGTATCGCAGTGAGAAATGCACAGGGATTGGGTCTTCATCGAAAATACATTAATGAATCATTCTCAGATAGAGGCTATGTCAGACACAGAAGAAAATTTTACAAGAGTTTGTATGTTTTGGATCGTATTACTTCGGTAACAATGGGTCGTCCTTTACTAATTGATGATTACGACTGGGATGATTTTGATAGCCAGGATATTTATGAGTTGGATAAAGATGGTAAACCGATTGAAAACTTCAATTTGAAGGCGTTAGTTGAAACTACTAGAGTGGCGAAAATTATCGGCAAGATTATCCGTGGATTTTACCTTGATGGTATTGTCAATACATCCAAAGCTGAGAAATTGGCAATTGAATTGAAGCTCTGGGCGCTAAATTTACCAGAAGAGTTGCAAATGGATAAGGCAGTCAATGGTGGAGTTGGATATGATGCAAATAGTTCAAATGTTGAGTTTGATGATCGTAAAACTTCGCTTTTGTTGATTCATTTGTCACAGTTGTACACTGTCATCTTACTATCGCGACCCTTTTTTATGTTTATTATTTTCAAACTGGAAAAGACTAGGGTATTTTGCAAACCCAAGGGACGTCAAGAGGTTGCAATTTGTAATTTCTGTCAGGCAGCTGTCAAAGCTTCAAGTTTGATAATTCAGTTGATGGACTGCTATATCAATTATACTAGATTCAGACCCGAGAGAGTCGAGTCAAATGCCTTAATATCAACCGTTCTTATGGCATCGTTAATAATCGGTATGACTGCATTGTTTATTGAAACCCGCGATAGTACAGACGAAGAGATTACTACACCAAAAATGATGATTCATTTAAATTCAGCTAAACGAGTATTTGAATTTTATTCCAAAACAAATGTCATGGCAACTAGATATTATGTCATTATAAATCAAATGCAAAATGCCTTGATGGATAAATTCAATTTGGATGTTAATGGTAATAAAAGGAAAGTGAGCAAGAAAAAGAAGCAAAATAAGGAATCGCAAAATCACCTTCAACAACAGCCTCAACAACAACAATCATTTTCCAATGGAAATCATCACTACCAACCATTGCCTCAGCCGCCTGTGTACAATATGCCCAATAGTCAATTCACCACTCACACCGGACAACCAATACCTCAACAGCAACAGCAACAGCAACAGCAACAGCAACAACAACAGCGACAGCCTACACTTAATACGAACCACATATCACCCAGTCTGTCTCTAGATTCAACAAGAACACCACCGTCATCAACAGTAACAACCGAAGAAAACTTCCCGCCTAATGACATTTTCAATAAAGATTATGATAATTTTATGGAAAATTTTGGCAGTTTGTTATTACCAATGGCGACTATGGGCCAAACTTTGAATCCGAATACTAATGCTGAGGGACCACACTACCATCCAAACCAGTCATCAAGTAAGAACAATAATCAGTATAATGGTGCCAATTCTTTTGCCCTGGCGTATGGCTCAAGCAATCTTGATTCTACGGGGTCTAATTTATATAATCAGCAATTTAGTCTCCAGGAACGGCCGGTACAACAACACCAGCAGCATCAGCCTCCACTATCGCACCTTTTACAACAGCAATCACAGCAGCATTTTAAAGACTCTGGGTCTGTGGGAGGAGAAGGAGGAGCTGCGGGCGGTAGTGGCATTGGCGGTGGGATAACTAATGGCAGCGGTTCATTCAGTGGCTCAGCAAGTGGCGCTGGTGGTTCCTTAAGAACACCCCACGATGAACTGTTGGATGAATTTATGTACAATGTGGGATTGAATGACTTTTTATACGATGCCAGAACACTAGGATAAATAAAATAAAATAAATAGACTTTAAATATAAAATGAGTGGTTCTTTTCTTTTCTTTTCTCTTTTTCATATAAGAAGAAATATATATAAAACTATAAATATAAAAAACTGCATCCACTAAAGGGGCAACCTCCTCTCTCTAACTACCTCCATTTTTTGTCTCACGCTATAAACTTTTGTTTGTTCTCAACCACGTACTGTTTCATCAACTCTAAATTCGAGGCCAACTTCTTTAAAATGGAAACTTTTAAATTCGATTCGTATAAATAATTCATCATCATTTGACCAGTGTGTAAGATTCGTAATGTCTTTTGTAAATCGGCTTCGAAAATATCGCTACTGTCTTCACCACCAGCGCCAGCGGTGTTCAAGTACGATGTAGGGGACCAATCTTGTTCCAACTTCACGTGTGGACTACTTGACGATAACGAACCACCAGCGTGAGCTTGTGTTGCAGTTGTCGTTGTGCTCTTAGTAATGCCCGCATTACCAAGGTCTCCACTCTCAAGTTTATACCCGCGCTGAACCAATTGTTGTTCAATTTGATCAACCACGGTCAAAATCAGATTCAATTTAGAGCTCAATTGATGCAATGACTCAACTTGGTGTTCATCATTGCCCAATCCTTGTTTTTCAAGCAACGCTTTGCGTCTGATCAAGTAGATGGAAAACATAACCATGGTGTTGAATATGTGAAACAACATTTGCGCATGCACCAAGTCATTGGTTAGTTCAAACTGCGTTGAAAATTGAATCGTGACTGGGTTAGTATTTGGGGCTGTGTGGTTGTTAGTGTGGGAATGATGAAGAAAACTGTGGTCATCCATGGTCTCCATGAATGAGTTTGACGTGTTGTCCAAATATCCAAAATCAGTTGAGAATGGAGCTTGTCCAAGGGTATCTGGATTATGACTGCAGCCAGATTGTGGTCGCTGATGCTGATGTTGATGCTGATGTTGTGGTGGATATTGTCCAGTCACTCCGTCACTACTAAATGAAAGCAATTGCACCATTTGCACACAACAATCAGCAACACGCAAATAATCATCATAAACATTCTCATCGCCTTTATTGGGAAAGTTATCAAACACATAATTGAAATTATCAACCAAGTCCAGATAAGTTTTAAACCACAATTGATCTTTAATGAATTTGAAATTCAAACAAGTACAAATCTTGGTATAATTTGTCAACAACAAATAATCAATCTTTTCATAATCTTTAATCAAATTGTGCTTATCATCATGCACTGGGAAATGCGTGGTTATTTCATCCAAAACTTTAAATGCATCAACTTTGGCCATTTCCTTGTACTGCTTGATTTCATAAATGCCATGCACCAACGAGATAAATCCACATTTCCCCAATTGATCAAGACTGTTCGAAATTGACCGATCAAGTTCTTCATTTACAGGGACGCTGGGACTGGCAGATTTGGAAATCCTGAGTAACAATTCTTTAAATTTGATAGGACTCGATTGAGAATACATGGTTAGAGATTCGCCATTGATGGAGCAATTTTCCTGAAACTCTTGATAGCTTTTAAAGCTCCATAAATGTTCATCACTCCTATTAGGAACATCAAGTTGATCTAAATCATTGGCTGATAACGTCAATGGCACATTGTACATCATGGAAAGAAAATTCGTCAATCGGTAAATAATGTAGACAATTCGCGTTTGTGATTGCACATTGATTAAATTTTTAAATTTCATTTCATCACTCAAACTATTGGAAAATAACGATGTCTCTTCAGTTTGTTTCCTGCTTGCATCAATCAACTTGTCATGAATCATTTTGTCTTCGCCATGAATGGAAAACAACACATCTTCGTTATTCTTTATTGATGTTTTCACAAGCGAATTCAAGGCATTCAATTGTCTCATGACGATAAACACATTATTAGGGTTATCCGAAAACAAACCGTAAATGACTGATAATGTAAGCGACTGTATAAGCCAAAGAGGATTCTTTTGTCCTCCTTCATTAGCTTTGGTTTGTAGAGGGTTTTTCCTACTTTCCAAATATATATGAATGGCTCTTCTTGACGCTTCATACAAGTGTTCAGAATCATTCTTGCTGTTGGACAATAAAGCACCAATGGTGGCGGCTAATAAAGGCAAGCAGACTCTAGCACTTTCATTCGATTCATCTTCATCCGATGCCATGCTCATAATCTCATACTCGTTTAATTTTGACACATGTATGAATGGGAAATGAGACAAGAAATCTTGAACAAAGCGATAAAGAAATGATTCTAATTTTTCATTCGATGGAATAACTGGGGTAGAAATCCCACTTATAGGATACTTGTTTAAAGCACGATTGATAAGCTGACGCAAATGGCTCGTGAACATCTTGTTTCTTGAAAAGTTGCCCATTCTCATCTTGGGCATTTGTTCCAAGAGTTCTCGTTGAGGAGTTGCAACATTTTCCATATTTAGCAATTGTCGTTGATCAATTGTATTTTCAAACATCGGATTCGCCACATTCAGCTGGGAGCTATTGGCCTTGGGTGGAGATTTCAAATGGGCGGGAGAGCTTGCGTCAACACCAGAAGAGCTGGCCGAGAATTGGTCACCATAAAACGAGTATCCACCTGGCATGAACTTTGCTCCGACATCAATTTCATGAGTCAACTCATCGATATCATTAAGGAAATTCCATTCAGCTTCCATATTTTCATTCACTCTTCTAGTAGTACGCTCTTCATCGGGCTCCTGTAGTATCGGAGTCAACACACGAATATGCGACGCTGGATCTACATGCAAAGCTTGGTCTAACAAATCATCCGGTATATCGTAAAAGGAATAACCCGACCCATCCAAGTACTTATCGAGTTGACCAGAATGCTGAAAGCCTTGTTGGTTAGGTTGCTGAATCTGTTGCTGTGGTGGTAGATGCGTAGTTCCTTGTTCTTGAGGCTGCAGCTGTTGCAGCTGTTGCAGTTGTTGCAGTTGTTGATGATGATGATGATGTAGCTGCAGTTGGTGGCGCGCATTAACGCCATTTTGGATTTCCTGGCTTGTCAACGTAACAGTTGGCATCATGTATCCGCCATCAAACTGCGAGTTTGTACTATTAACACTATCAGTTCTGCTCTGAGCCATGGCTGATAAATGTGACGGGTGTGAGAACGAACCGTGGTGACTGACATTTACCGGAGGTGTAGGGTACCCATTGACACCCGAGGTTATGGAACTTGTTCGTTGCATCTTGACGATATTGGAAGAGTCCGATAGTCCTGGAATGTGAGCTAAATTTTCTAACCAGTTCATCTCATCAGCACTGCTGGATGGTAGGAATTGAGGAGTTGAAAATTCAACATTGTCAGTTTGAGGGTACACATCGTTGAACTCGGGGATATTCATAGCATAGTTTGCACCCGATTGTGCTGAAAATGATGTCCCCCTTCTTGCTCTTGTTGGTGTTATAGCAATTCCCGAAGAACCAGCTAGCTCTGGCTTATTTCTTTTGTGTTCAAGTACATGTCTCTTTAAACCAGGAGGGTTGGAACTTTTTCTGGTGACGTTAGATGAAGACGGTGTAGACGAAGCAGGGGTCACAGTTGCCCCTGAGGGTAGTGCTGATTGATGTTGGGCAGACGCAGATGCTCCTGCTGTATTATGGCGTTTTGCTTTCAGTACTTTGGCTTTAGTAGTTTTTGCCTTTGAATCAAACAAATTCAAGTTAAACTCAACCGGTTCTCCCTTCATCTTTGATGTGTTGTCTACCTCTTGATTAGATCCATCTTGTCCCTCGTCATCATCATCATCGTCATCATCCTTCAGTCTAATCGATTTACGTCTAAGTCTGGTGATTGCATCAGTGCAACCAGCATGCAATTTCTGGGCGTGTCGTAAAAGCAAGTCTCTTCGACTAAACTTTCGCTGACACACTCCACAACTAAATGGCTTTTCTTTTGTATGAGATCTTTCATGTCGCCTTAAATGCTCCAATCTTGCAAATGCACGAGTACAAATTTGACAGACAAATAAACGAGGTTTACCAGAAGGAGTTGTACCATACGCTGTTAGTTCAACTGGGATGTTTTTGGACTTTTTAGCAGCCGACTTGCTGGAGTTGTTGTCTTCTTCCGTTTGGTTCGGAGTAGAATGTGCACTCAGTGGGGTATGGTTATCCAGCCTGCCATCATCTGGTATCTGATTCAATGACGATTGAGGTGAGTCACTCCTAAGTCCAATACTAGTTGTATTCATGTATGACGTTGTATTAAAAGTGGAAAGCATCCAAATGTCAAACAGTTGAGTGTGTTATAGAGTGCCTGTCAGTCTGTCAGTGAGTCTGTTGTTTTGTTTTTGTTATTTAAAAGCGTGCTTTATGTGTATATTTATTTTTCGTCTTTTCTTTTTGTTGTTCAGAAACGACGCAAACTTAGTGGGAAAACAACAATAATGTGTAATGTCTAGTGTCTAGTGCGTGGCTGGTACAACGGTATAGGACGTGAGTTATAGATCTTTTGCAATTACTAAAACGTGTCTTCAACTGTCCATGTATAGCAATTGTAGACCCTAGTCTTTAGATGGGGTGTATAATTTCTTGTGTGAAAGATATATAAATTTTGTTGTGTGACTGGAGGAATAAGGCTCTCTCTCTTTAACTTATTAACTTTTCTTTTTTGTTGTCTCGATAATTTTTTAAAAAAAAAATAAAAATAAACCCAACGGAATTCTATAGAATGAAATTGTCCTAATTGCAGTCAAATTTTTATGAAAATCTGGTAGTTGAAATGTTTCCAAGTAATTGATATCAATCTTTTTAAGTGAAGATTGGAAAGTTTGTGGTGATGTGCTTTTGAAATAACTAGGTACCCTCTGTAGTAGAACACAACTCGTTTTCAACAAAATAAAAAGTTTTTGTCTTTTTCGTTTTATTTTTATTTCTGTTCTATGACTGACTGACTGACTGACTGACTTTCTCTGTTGTTCTCTTTTCTGGGGCAAAAGATAAAATTAAAAAAACAAAGTGTCTGTTTGTTTTTTTTTAAACGACAGACAGAAAAAAAGAATGACTCCGTACAAGTAGCTCTATAATGTTTTTTTGTCTGTCTGAAGTTATTGTCAAATAGATAATAGATACAAAATTCCGAAGAATAACAAAGAATTCACCACCCACATCTTGCATAATAGCTTTTTTGTCTGAAAAAGTGTCTTAATTTTGCATTGTTTGCAATTTTCAAAATGTGGGGTTGTTTGCTTATTGTGTACACTACCTCCATTATTATTTTAATTGTTGTTGTCTTTATTTTACATTGTCTTTTTTAATCAACTTCGTGGGGTTGTGGTTAGAGAGAGTGTGTGTCGATAACAATTTAACACACAGAGAATTTAACATTCCACAACTGATACAAAAGAAGTAAGTTAAGATGTATGTATGTATATATATATATGTGTGTGTGAAGGTAAAAGTCCAACCTAAACCTGTAAAACTCCGTGTTGTTATAACTGATAATACTTTTGTGGCACTCGGACTTGGCCGCATAAAATTTCCACCAGTTTAATCAGAGGTAGCTATAAACTATATTAATAACGTTCTAAATACAAAACAAGAGACTTAAACCCCCGTGTGGATAGATGCAAGGGGTGGTGCTAGTCCCTTTGCTTTCCTTGTAGAAGGTCTTTAGTATCCGGCTTAGATCCAAAATCTGCCAATCACCGCTAAATTTTAGCCCCTTGATTTGCCAGTGGCTGAAGATGTTTTTAATTTGAATAAACTAAACTTGTAAATGCAGAAACTATTCTAGCTTCTATGCAAAGCACAACAGAAGTCAAAAGACCTGATAACACCATTCTTAACAAAGCTTATAAATTAGATTAGGTGTCGGAGTCATCATAAAATGTTTTTGTTTTCTCCCTTTAAAAAAAATATTCTCCGAAGAAAGCCAAGAATTACTGTTGGGGTTTGAAAGAGCTTAAATTAGCAAGACAACGTAAAATATCTGAGGTATCTACAATCTCTTATCACACAGAAGAAGTGTCACTACTATTCCCGACTAAATTGACTCTGGATATTAGTTTCCATCGACGGGGTTAGTCATAAGTGGTTTTGTAAACTGAGTTAAAGTTTATCAAATTGAGTGCTAGGCCTAGTGAACAATTACGAACAACAACTAACTTCCATTAAAGTAACCTTATAGATTGACTAAGCTCCTTATATCTCTACTTAAGTTGTGTCTGTCTACAACACCATTAAAACGTATTGAAAATTTCCTTGTTTTGTGTTCGTGCAACCAAAAGCGCAACTTTTTTGTTAGTCAACTTTTTGGCAACACACTTTGTTCCGAGTGACAATGTGGNGGAGCAACTCTTGCGATAGAATTGTTGTACCCTCACCTTCCTTTTTTCACATTACATGTAACCTACTGCTAGGCCAAATATATATATATGTGTTTGCGTACTGACTGTTGCTTTGGAAAGATAGTCACCTTAATCCAGGTAATAATTATAGCTTTAGCTTCATCCAGAAGGGAGAGGTTACTACAGGTTTTTCCAACTGATACTGGCACAGATTATGTAGTGCGGCTCATCCCTATTTGGTGAATGCATTTGATTTTGTTTAATTTTTGCTTTCTTTCGCGCCACAGTTTTCATTTGTGTCCCGAGTTAACCCTAAAAGGAAAGAATTACTCAGCAATTGAATCGCTGTTTTCTCTACCAACGCAAAAGAGTGTTAATCTCCCTAGACATACACCTAACACAATTTCAGTCACAACCCACAATTATGTCCCAAGCAATCAAGTTGTACACATGGGGTACCCCCAATGGATTCAAGGTTTCCATCTTTTTGGAATTTCTTGGACTTAAATACGACGCAGTCCCCGTTGACATCAGCAAGAATGAATCTAAATCCGACTGGTTTGTCAAATTGAATCCTAATGGACGTATCCCCACCATTGAGGATCCCAACTTCAAGTCTGATAACACTGCGGGTCCATTGGTCTTGAGTCAAACTGGAGCCATTTTACAATACCTTGCTGACACTTATGACAAGGAACACAAGTTCAGCTACCCGTACGGCACAGGTGAATACTACAAGACATTGGAATACTTGATCTTCCAAGTCAGTGAAAACGGACCAATCCAGGGCCAAGCCAACCACTTTCTCCTCTATGCACCTGAAAAGGTGCCATATGGAATCAATAGATACACGACTGATGTCAAGAGGATCTACGGTGTTTATGAGGATATCTTGTCGAGAAACAAAGAGAATGGCAGCAAGTATTTAGTTGGTGATCGTTACACCGTGGCTGATTTCGCTTTATTTGGATGGGC